CTGTAACTACTGGTTCACATCTTATGATAGATATAAAGAGCGATTGAATTGTGTTTTGTGCCGCCTTTAGCTATACTCTAACAATACCTCGGCGGTGATGAGGGCGGGATACCAGAAATGGATTTATTGGATTTCACTCAATGATATCATATGGGGAATAGAACCCGACCTGTAGAACGCTTTCCACAAGGCTATTTCGCCGTCGATATGAGATGTATAGGTGCAGATGACCCAATTGGAAGGGTACTCAAGTAACTATTGCTACTAGGCGTTCATGTAATATATCATTTGATGACCATTTTCGGTTTCTGTAGAAATAAAGTTGAACAAAACGAAGTGTATTTCGTAACAGACTTCAAACATGAGGATAAATGCTATTTCATGTCGGAATGTGTGCTAAGCGGTGATTACCTTGTACACTATACATATACACCTCTGAAGATCCCGGATCAGAGTTGGTCGTCGTTGTTCGCTCACATATTTAACGGACCCGTGAAGATCCGGGGTCGAATAGGTCTTCAGCAAGCCATGCTTGCCACAAAAGGCGACCATGCTTGTCGTAAGAGGCGACTAACGGGATCGGGTGGTCAGACTCGCTGACTTGGTTGACACATGTCATCGGTTCCCAAATGCGCAGATCGATGCTCATGCTGTTGATCACTGGATTTTCTGGTCCAGACTCGATTATTTACAGACTGCCGCCATATAGCTGGAATATTGTTCAGAGCGGCGTAAAACTAAACTCACTCACTCACTCACTCACTCACTCACAAATTAAACGAGAGCATGTGGTAGTCCCGTGTTTCAAGCATTTGGTGTTCAAGGTTCGACTCTATAGAGGTAACATGGTGTAAAGGTTGTCTCAGCCTATACGTGTTTGCCTTCCGAATTGAGCGAGAGAGTATAGTTTTTATGCCGCTTTTAGCAATATTCCAGCAATGTCACGGCGGGGAACACCAGAAATGGGCTTCACACATTGTACCCATGTGGGGAATCGAATCCGGGCCTTGGGCGTGATGATCGAACGCGTGCACCACTAGGCTAACAACAAACACACACACACACACACACACACACACACACACACACACACACACACACACACACACACACACCAAATTGAAACAGGATTCATATATTATCGAGATAAAACCCCGCATATGATTATATGATATAACAGTATAGTATAACAGGAAACTTTTGTTGACATATGAGGTGATTCAGTGGACTGGTGTTTCAGGCTCGGTGGCTTGACTGGCGTCTGTAAATAATCGAGTCTGGACCAGACAATCCAATGATCAACAACATGAGCATCGATCTGCGCAATTGGGAACCGATGACATGTGTCAACCAAGCCAGCGAGCCTGACCACCTGATCCCGTTAGTCCCCTATTTCGACAGGGCATTGTTAAAGAACAATTCTATCCCGATCTTCACGCGTTTGAAAACTAGGGTGTGCCAAGTCGACCCGCTCAACATACACGCCTCTTGCCCTTATGACGCAACGCCATTGCAGCAGTCAAACATAAACCTGTATCTGTTTATAAGCACAGATTGTTAATACAGTTTTTATTACCCAGACAGGTGTGTACATGTCCCAAGGCACGAAGGAGTTGCTGACAGTATCACATGACAATCTAGCGCACTTGCACTGTAAGCACTTCGAGAGGAACAAAGTGTGGTCTGATTCAGTATTGAACACACCTGGTTAACTTGTTCTCAGCTACAGCGTGGGGCGTGTTATTGGATTGTATGTATATTGGTTTCAGTTTCACAGTGCACCTACACACAAACACAAGCTCTATGCATGACTTGTTTTTAAAAATTACAGCCTGGAAACACGGAAACAAAGTTGTCATAGCAACTACAATGTAGTCATATCAACCGACTTAATGTTGAATGTGCATTTCTTATAAAATAGAAAAGAATACTATTGAAAAAATACAGTTCGCTCGACATTTTAAACTTTACGATGTTTATAAAGGGCTTTTCGTGAAATTCCTCAACCAAGAACTAGGTACAGTGTAGGGGTCTCTATAACGGCCTTTCGCTCGAGGAGCACACAGTTTCTGGCATGACGTGTCATAACATTGCGATTAACGCTATGTGGTATTATTCATACTGATATAAGCCGACCGCCTCTCGTTCTTTGGCTGGAAGTATTCACGGCCGGTCATGCGAATCTTTCATTGAATACGCTAACACTAACTGCAGTCAGGGCCCAGGGCGATACGACTGTACCAAGTGATGTGTCAGCAAGTTTGTTCAATCGTTAAGAGGCTTTTGCAAGCGTCATTAACACCGCGGTATATCGGGGTGATTGAATGAATTGATGAGAAGGTCGATGTGTTTGGTTGCATATCCAACGGTTTTCAACACGTGTAGAACATTCCTTTGACTTTAGTATTCCGTTAGAGAGAATAAAATTCAAATTTAAACCATTTGCGTGAATGGATACGGGATATTGAATTTATTAATACACGAAGTGTAGACATTGTGTGCCTTTGTGTGGAGGACTATATATGGCCTCGTAAACATACATCGTTATATAACGTTATTATAGATAGATGTTCCGAGTATTGCCACTGACAATATAATTAAAGTACATTACTCATGTTCGACAACAGCGTTAATGTAGCGTGTGACATAACTGAAATATATTCAGCCTGTGTCATCATTAGTGAATATAAAATGTACAAGCTAGCGACTGAAATACACACCGACAGGTGTTGGAATCAGTTGAGCAGTAACGAACATTGTAATATCTATACAACCGAACAATTACATCCGATATCTAAATAAAAATAATAATAATCAATTAAAAAGTGTGGGACATTTTACCAATGATGTGTTGTAACAAACATTAACAGAGATCAAACGGATTCACGTTAGGCCACATAAGAATAAAATCTTTTTGGTTTCACATTACCACTCGAACTTAACATTTGGCCCGACCCTATTTTTTTATATTTTGTTAATATTTTTGCACTCGTAAATGTGCGTGTATAAAGCCTGCAGGCTTCCGAAATTCGTCTCAGCTTGCGGCATTACAGGTTTTCGACTAAGATTGTATAAGTTCTTTGAAGTTGTTCCATAAAACTTACTTTTCCTTAACATTGTATAGAAAATCAGAAAAAAGTATTAAAAGATAAAAATAAAATCCACTCTACCTACCCATTTAAAAAAAAAGAAAAACTGATGAGAAACCAGAAATATATTTTATGTGGCCTTATTTGTGATGTGTACATAACATGATAATTAGATAAGAACCTTTGTCCTGTACAGGAAGTTCATCTATAAAGACTGCTGGTAACATATGATACTGTTATTGCAAACGTTATTCAAACGGAAACCAAACAAACATAATCCGATTATTTGCCATGTGTTTGTAACACAACATTATAATATAGGGACACACCTTGTCCTCAGCAGGTAATATATCGTTACGGCCGCTGTAAACACGTGACAGTGTCACATGAATGCACGCCAAATCTTAGGTATAAATATTTAGCCTTTAGGTCGGCTTTGGAGATGTAACATTTTAATGCAGGCTAGGTTATTTATCGCGTAGCCAGATGAATAGTTATGTATGCCTGAGGCGGAGATTTATGGTTCTGTAATGGATTTCCACATCATCGCGACAACTATGCTGTCAGGCCGACTTCCGGCGGCGTCCGTCACGTCCACAGTGAGCCTGGTGACCAGCGACCGTGACCTCGTCACCAGCACGTGTTTCTAATGCCGCTCGTGTTATTAACTCACAACGCCGTGTTATGAACATATTTTCTTGAAGTATAAGACTTTGTCGTGAACATAAACGTATGTTTGGAAGATATAGAAAGATAATACACCTGAAAATATGTTAAGCACCAGTACCACTTTCGGATATCTCGTAGTTTCTTATACCTGTTGAAAATAGCTGCTGATGTTATTGATGTCGATAGGTGTGAAATGATTGTTTGGATGCCAGCTGTCCGGCTGGGACAAGCTGACTGAGGGTGTCTCACCTTGGTGGATGTGCTTAGTCAGCAGTAACAGCTGTCTGTTGCCATGGTTACAAAACATTCGCAAAAATTGTCTTTATGTAATTAATTTATGTTAATGTAATTCATTATGGTTACGTTACTTAGAAAGCAAAGAAAATGTTTGTCAGATAATTAATACAGCCTTCGGTATAAGAACATAAGTTGACTGTGACTGAGTTTGGTTTTACGCCGCTTTTGCAATATTCCAGCAACATCACGGCGGGGACACCAGAAATGGGCTTCACACATTGTACCCATGTGGGGATTCAATCGCGTGAGGTTGCCCCACCGCCCGCCACACATGAAAATATATGACAGTTCTAAGTTTCAGGTGTATTATGTGTAATGTGTTTTCTTTCCGATCGCTGAACACGCGCAGTCATGATTATAGATGAAGTAAAATATGTATAATATATTTTGAAGTTGTATGCAAAGATAGTCGATTTTCAAAAGTACTTCTCCAACGCGTCAGAGCTTGTTTGTAAATCTAACGTTCGATGAAAATCCGGGTTCGTTTTCTCACGTTCGTAAAAATATATGAAGTTATTTGTAGTGTTTTCCGTGTCATGTTGTTGTTATAACACATAATATTTGCTCACTCACGAGGATAAATCTGATGGGATATCTTAATTTTGTTGGCCCCGATCCCAGTTTCTGTGACGGTAAACGTGCGTGGTAATTGTTTAATGATTATTATTTTTCATTTAACACTAAACATTTATCCGGGACATGTGACTTTACCTTTTCCATCATGAATAATTTCCCTAGACAACGAAATCATTTTGCAACAATGTACTATTATTCATTGCATGGGTAATGGGTGCATGGTAATGTGTTTCTGCACCAAGTTATTTATCTGTTGTTTTGACTGCATCAGTAAACAGAATAACACTAGTGCCTACTAACATCTCGTACTCTGCTGATGTTTAATACATCCCACTGTTACTCACGTGACCTAAATGTTTATGCTTTCAGAAACCACGGTATAGCGAGGAGGTGTGTGTAGGTACTCGTCACAATCGACTCGGAGATTCCCGTTTGTTTCTGACCTTGGCTAAACATTCCGATCCACAATCGCCGAAACAAGTCTCGTTCGATGATGGCGATGACGTCACAGCTGATGACGTCATGGACAGATCTGGAATTCTGGGAAATGCCAGCGTCGAAGAAGTGTTGGAGGGATTTCTTTCTTTCGGTAAACGCCCAGTTCGTGAACAACTTGTATCGAATCCTGCTGTTTTCGAAGGAAATGGCCACGCATTATTTCCAAGGACTGGATCGGAGGCAGGGTGTAACTATTATTCCAAGAATGGAGAGAGAGATGTATGTGATTTTTCGATTGAGGATTCCGTGTCAGTAAACTGTGACAACCAAGCCTGTGTGAATTCTCTTCCTTTGAAAGAAGCCAAGAAATCGTACAAACTGTGCCCGTATTGCTACACCTACTACTGCAGCAGGCTTTGTAGGAAGCTTGATTTCGAGGCTCATAAACAGAAATGTCACCATAGCAACGTAAACAGCGCGTGCAAACACATCATGGTTAAAATTAACAAAGACCCCAATATGCAGTATCGGTATTCCCGATTAGCCAGATTGGGATATACGTCACATGGTCGGGGGTGTTTGGTTCTGTATATCCCGGACTTGTTTAATGCTGAACGATATCTACACGATCCTGATAGTAGCAAATTTTCTCCAGTTTTCGTGCCTCTCAAAGCTCTCACCAGCTCCGAGAAGTTTGGTAAAATGTTGCCATACGTGATTGACATGTGTATTCAATGTAACCCTGCTGTCAAGTATGTGATGCATGTGTCGGTGGGGGTGGGGTCTGCCTTGGAACAAATCCCCCCTCCCAGGAGTACGGATCCCCTTATCCAAAAGTGCGCCAAGCTGAGTCTCAGCCCAGCTCATGATCTCACGGATCTAGAGGATCATAACAATATCACGCTCCTTGCTGCCTCCACAGAACGAGCAAATGACAGACAAGATACCAGAGAGGCAAGGGAAGCAAGCTTCATGGACATTCAACGGAAGTTACGTCATAGCGGAGTTAACCTACGTCACGAGTTCCCAGACAGTTATAACAAATTGATAGACTTCGTAGCAGACGGAAGAACATTTCCACCTCAGATTATCTCCCCTGTTGACTCCAAATCGGGCGAAGGATTTACCTGTGTCATTGTACCCGAAACGGAAACGGAAATAGAATGGGTGCAGGCTCAAGAGTTCCCACCAGATATAGACCTGTCAACGGACGACCGGTGTCCTACTTCACCAACCTCCCCATAAAATTCTAACCCCGGACAGAGTCTCATTGCCATCCCATATGTGTGCCATGTTGACATATTGTATGGATATATTATAAGGACGTTCATTACGATGTATAAAGGTGCATCTGATCGACGCTTTTACTGCAACGTGTTTTACACTGAAGCTTTTATCTTCCCTGTATTCATTCAGTTGGTTGTGTTTGTGCTAATAGAGCAAAATAATTGTAAATATTGTTGTGAAAGGTGTTTTAGTGCAGCATTTATTATTATTAACTAAGTACATCATACATCCATCCATTTGATTTTATGTTCGGAGGACGGCATTATCAGTGGCATACATAAATTATAAATTAATTTTGGGATAGCCTAGTGGTTTAAGTGTTCGTTAGTTACGTAGAAGACGTAGCAACATTGTGGATATTCTCGTGCACATGGCTGATACTATTGATAAGAAATCCGCGGAAACGTGCGTCCTCGGTGATCACGTAAATATAAATGTTACTTAAAAAGTAAATCACCTCCTTTCCCGAACTATTCTAGGAATAAATGTTTGTTTTTTGTGTTAAATCTTTAAAACCCAAGGGGAACTCTTTTGTTGCAGCAGATGTGTCCTTCTGAGCTGCGGCTCGTCTCACGTCCTTTTGAAAGTTTAATTAACACATGAATCTTGCAGCAAAACGGCTCAGCTCCCCAGATCGATGTCTGTCTGTGGCTAGGTGTGAGGTTCTGTCAGCAAGCATGTACCACCAACTGGTTAACTGCTGTTGTTACTGTTGCTGATAGACCTGAGCCAGTTAGTATTTATGCCTCTTTGTCTGCCGTTTGAAGTAACTAAAGAGTGAATGTCTGTGTTGATTTCGTGATAAATTCATGTTTTTACATTTGTTTTATCGAGGAAGAGTGTTTACCTAAAGTTTGTATTTCATTTAAGAATTGTATTTTTAGTAAAATGTATCGTTCTATAGAATGTTACAGATAGTCTAGGTATGTCTTCTTTGTCAGCGGGGTAACATTAATACAAACGCATTATGAGGAGGTTATCGGTGCTGCAGAATTTCTGAAAAGGTTATGGAGGAAACAGTCAAGATATGGCTGTTGAGGATACATGTATACTGACGGAAAGAAATAAGGTAACACTTGTGGGTGACATGCCGTCCCTGGACACGTGGTAGATACCCCTACCCTGGGGATCACGTCAACACAGTCGATAATGGCATGTCACTGGGTTTTTTTATTGAAGCAATTCGGTAACAGAAATAGCCATCAGTGTGTTGTTACACTGTTATAGGAGAGTTTTATGAAGTTTTTATTATTCCACTTTATACCTTCAAAATTGTGATTATGGGGAAGAAGTGAGTGAAGAAGTACAATGTGTATTTACCAAGTAAATACGACATGTTGCTAGGATACACTAAACAGAAGCGGTACTAGTACACCGTCTACTGTGTCGCAAGCCTCCCACAATGTGTAGCGCATTTCCGTGGACGTTTTGTTTTTTTTTGGTGGGGGGGGTTGTTTCATATCCCGTAAATAAATGTTTTCCTGGCGATTACATCACACATGTTTCAAACACAGTTGTCCAAACATGTCTAATGCCGAGATGCAGATGTCTCTGTCCTAATCCGATCCTATCCAAAATGGCAATATATATTAGTTCACACACGAGGCTCCGATGGTACTAATGGAAGTTTCAGCCATGCTGTCCTTCACCTTCATATGCTGAACTTTGACCCGAAATGCCAATAATTCATTGTGCCTTAATGGTAGTTTTAGCAACCATGTTTTAGCATAACAATTTACAAATTTAGAAGCAGATATATTTACATAGTATGCCAACACTCACTGTATATTTGTGATAAATGGTTTTAAAAAGTATATTTCGTTAAACCTTTGCAGCGGTGGGCTATATTTTGTACATTGTGTTAGAAAATATTCTGATTTGTTTTTATGCAAATAATCTATTGTTTTGTACATTTCTTATGAAAACTACACCGTGCAATACATGTACAGATACAAATAGAGGTCCAGCCAGATCCAACAAACAGATTATTTAGCTAACACGAAATTTGTATAGAGATTAAATGATATAGTCTATACCGATCATTTGCTTTTGTAGGATTTGAATAGTTGAAGAGCTATCGGATTTATGATGAACCCTTCATATGCTGCGCTTTGTAAAAAAATAAGGAATGTTGAAGAAAATATGTACAATTGTATGCCTTGTCCTGTATTATATGCTTTAGGAATAGCTGACAATAATTGAACGTGGATTTGTATTTGAGTATTAAGCATATAGTCATACCTTAGTTACTTTATAGCAATGTTGACTGATTTATGATATGTTTATGTTAAGCGATAAGCAAGTCCATATGAAGGGTTAATCCATGATGCGTGCCTGTGAAATATATTACAATTGATGCCTGACGCAAGTTGTAATTTATTTGGAGCAATGCTATAATTATTGATCATTAATTAAAGAGATTATTGTTTCTTGCCTGTATAATGTTGCACGTTTCTTTCATCGCGTTGGGTCGGTATCCGATAATATTCTGGTTTAGAATCATTCTCTTCCCACAGAGGTTACTCCTGTCATATCTTCCTACGTAACCTCTGTTCTAATACGGCCCTTTCATGGTGTGAGCGTTCAAGACTCGTGATTGGAGGCAATCAGATTTAGTTGTGCAATCAGCGACGTTGTTTCAAAAGTGATCATTCGCAAGGCCTCGGTAATTTCCGTATGCTTCGAGAAAACTAAACCTCTTCCCCTGCGCGATGCGCAAACGTTTCTTTTAGACAGAACTCAGTCATGTTATGGCGGATCAGTGGCGTCTCCATCGCCCTCGTTGACAACGGACAAGCTAGCCATTAAACGTCTTGTGTGTAACATCAATACAAGTCTCCGGCTGATTGGGGATATTTGTAGCCCCACATTTGCTTGTGTTAGTCAAGTTGAATCTAAGTCGATGTAACACGTGTTCTGATTGGATAGAAAGAAGGGAGATAATTCGTGCTGCGATCTTTTGCCGCTAGGGGATTTTACGAGAACCTGGAAATATGGCCGTATTAGAACAGAGGTTACGTAGGAAGATATGACAAGTAACCTCTGTGGGAAGAGAATGGGTTAGAATTGGCCTTCAGCAACCCAGACTAGATTATTTACAAGTTACACAAACTCGGGTTTGGATGCATAGGGTGCAGGGCCAGGAAGCGTTGACGCATTTCCATGGGAACATTTGTCATGTGATGCATGTTCAACCTTGACCTCTTGCGTGATGAATATGCATGAACAGAGAGGGTAACTTTGTGGGATGGATCATACCCAGCTGACCTGGCAGTTCAATTTCTGGTGCGACTCTTCTTCGGACTCTTGTCGAGACCCACAAAAAACATCATTGGAGAGTATTCTAGATTATTCACGTGTACTTAAGTGCGGTAGGTGTTTGCGCCTGGTTTAACATTATCGGATATTTATTGCATATAATGCACGTGTGTGATGTAGATTCCATTTACAGTACATATACATTTCTAGTCTTGGCCAGCCCAAAAGGTAGATGAACGTTTGACCAAATGTCAACGCTTTAGAGACTCAATCACGGGGAATCAAGCAGATGACATATTTGACGACTCGAATCATACCAAAGTGAGATTCAAACTCCTCACACTCACTAACTGACTCAAACAGTTTAAAGACAGCTCAAAACAACAAGAAGACAATTAGCCCAACGGCCATACCTCATTCCGGACTACAATATTCCTGTCTCAAGTCCGGAATAGTCCGTTTAGTTTCAACGATTCCGTTATATCAAGTTGTGTGCCTGTTTAGTGTTGGAGGAAGCCCGCACTGATGCAGCCTCAATGGGCTACCACAAAGCCAGGATTGGTAATAACAAACCAGTTAAGGTAGTGAGGCCGGACCAGGATTCGAACCCACGATCACAGGTTCCGGCTCCCCAGAGCCCAGGGACTTCCGGACTAAAGTGAATTTAGGTCTCTTGTATAGTCTGTTTGCAGTGAAAACGTACCTATGAATTTCACTTAAAACAAAAAAGTAAATCAAATAAAGTGAAATTAAGATTGCGAATCCTCATAATTTTACCTTGCCAAATGAACGTTTAAATCTCAGAATTTTATTAAACTTAGGATAAAAGTTGTTTAACAAACGATCATAGATTTAAATCGCTATTATTGGTTTGTATTACAAGGGGGTACGCGCAGTAGTTGGAACAGTGAAACAAATGCACGTGCGGTACGTGATGAGCGTTAACTTAGACTACCGTAGAAACCAACCCTTCGTGTTCTCGGAGTTTCATTTAATGTGCATACCCCCTTGAAATACAAACCAATAATAGCGATTTGAAACTATGATCGTTTTTTAAAAACCTTCATCCTAAGTTGAACAAATTTCTGAGATTTTAATGTTCATTTGGCAAGGTAAAGTTATGAGGATTCGCAATCTTAATTTCACTTTATTTGATTTACTTTTTTTGTTTAAAGTGAAATTCATAGGTACGTTTTCACTGCAAACAGACCATAGACGAGGATGACGGAGGTTTGGTACCAATGGTTGTTGATACGGAGCAACCATTTCATATTCTATATCGTTGGTCTTTTTTGCAACCATACCGCCACCCCCAAAACCCATGTAAATTTATCAAACGGTTGCTCCCTTACGAAAAAGTATATTGGTTGCAACATTGGATTTCGCTACAACACAAGCAATAGTCAGAACAGGCGCACGCACGCACGCACAAACACACGACAACATTAACCCCATTCCACTTCCCGTCCAGTGCGCTATGTTCAACCTGTGCAGATTTATAATCACTGCACCGACATATATGTGTTGTAGTATGATATATAACTTCCACTGCACGTCCTGGGTGTGTTGCAAGCTATGAATATTGATTGTTGGGAGATATGTGTACGGAATGGAGTCGTGTTGGGCGTTGATATGATCGCTATAACGCGCAGGCGAGACCCGCCTTGAGGTCACAGCTTGTCGGTCGCATGGTGCGTATTGACCAGCTGGAATCTAATCGATTCCGGGTTCGAGTCCCCAGTGGAAACAGCAGGTATGATCAGATACTCATGATTAATGTATCTGGCAATATGCCTCCTTCAACATGATGTGAATAGTACATTATTATGTTGGTATTTAAACAAATGTTTTACAATATACATATGCACAGTTAATATGTTTTATTACGTACATTGAAATGACGTGATGTTGCATCCATTTATAAACGAATACGCAACGGAAATTTTGAAAATAAGAAATTTGAAATTAATTTAAACTGAAAACTTAAAGGGTCCATCTGTTTCTCATTTCTGTGATAACACGACTACGGTTGATACAATCTCATTGCACTTAACAGACTTCAGCGGTTTATTCCATGTATATTTCAACAGCAAATATATTAGGTGATGTATGTTTCACTGAACAACGAGGCTGTAGTCGGTCGGATCGTTCCTGCTGCACAGCCCCAGTCATGTCGATATCTCGTGTGATGAAACCGATGTATATGGCCTGCAGCCGTGCCGACCAGCTGTGCAGCATGTACTGGAATGTGGTGGCCAGGTGAGTCACTGCCAGGGGGTTGTTAGATTCGCGGTGACATGGCAGTAAACGTCGCTTGTATAATTAGGGAGACAGCGTTTGTTTTTCTGGGACAGAGGAGGGAGGATCTGGGAAATTTTTCAAATTTTTCTAAACATCATTTGGCTCTGACAAAAAATAGACCGCTGGATGAGTGGTGATACTGTGTTGATGAAAGTTAATGATCGGCTCATATCGTCAGAAAATATACCGTAAACATATTCCATATCAACATCCAAGCTGTTTGGTGACGTACATAACAAGGGGCACCTGCAGAAATTCTTCGCTTTGCATTCTCATTGTTTTTATTGATTTTGCGACCTGAAGATGTATGCTCTTTTTTCTGTCCACCCAAGATATATAAATACAAGGGGAATGTCGTCTGATTCGATCTCTAATACCAGGATTGGAGGGTCATATCAAGAAAACAGTAACATATCATCAAATGAACAGACAATTTGATGTACATGGACATCTGTTGGAAAGGTATAGGAGTAACCATTTCATTTTCGGGAGGTTGAGAGAGAGGGTTACTTTATCTGTAAAAACTTAAACAAACCCCTGGCACACTTGACAATAATCACGTATGCCTCGTCGGGTAGAATTCATATACCCTGCTCTTGCATTGAGCTTTTAACCAGATCTGAATTAAAAGATTAAAACAGATCTATCGACCTCTAGTATCTAGAATAACTGTCTGGATTTATAGTAACATGACAGCCACAATAATGAAACAACAATGATATTCTATAATGCACACATCAATGTTTCGTCTGAAAGTAACTTGAGAGTGTTCGACTTTAACACACCCTGACTTGACTTGACACCAAATAAAACAGGGCCTCTAACGACCATGAAAGGCACGTGCAAATAATACTTTCATCTCTTACGTACCTGTGACAGGTGTTCTTACAGTAACCAACTACAAACCATTGCACGTGAGACCGGCACGTGTGCAGGTGTCCAAGTTTGGACATCGGTGTCCGCGTTATACAACGAAACTACGGAGGTCGCGGTGTGCACGGTAACCCACAAATGTCAAGTATTCAAGCTCGTGAAGTAAAACGACCTTGACCTTGACCACATGACATTGGTATAACGGGAGATAAGCTTGGAAACATGACAACATAAAAATGGCCCATAGTCTGTCAGGTTACAAACCTTACAACTACACCATCACAACGGATAATGTCAAATACTCCGATCTAAGGACCGTTCATAATTTATGGTGATGATTTTAAGGTGGCGTCAGGTTCTGGGGAGGTAGGGGGAGTCATCAATTTTGTACACATGTAGTTGGGGGGTGTCATTCATATTGTACATGCTTCTATATACAAATCATCACCACCCAGCCTAGCCACAAATTATGAACGGTCTCTAACTGTAGCTCGTGGAGAATATTGATACAATGATACAAGCTAGGTTATCGACCGTCAAGGAGTTTAATTTTCAAGGAAATTTACGGTTTGGTGGTGATTTTTCATATTTATGATCATGTTGGCCTACTTAAGTAGTGTATTGGGAATCGGATAGGGTTCTCAACAACCAGAGGCGACTACATGCATCTCGTGGTCAGGCTAAGGGACTTGGTTGACATCGTGCCCCAACGGCAAGTTTCGTTGTTGATAATATCACCCACTGGATTATCTGATCCAGACTCATATATGAATACACAATGCCATTTAGAAGTGGTAAGATCAGTCAGCTGTATGACATGTTATATTTGGGATTTCACTTTCTCAGTAAGCATAACAAAAATACTTGAATCTGCACTTTTCTGAGAAAGTGAAATCCCAAATATAACATATGGTACGACGTCATACACCTGACTGAGGCGTTTAACGTCAAACAAACTCGTCATTTTTTTTATTTAAATGGGTGTGACATATGCAGTTATATGAAAGTAAACTTTGCTTTGTCATATTTCATCGTCATAAAAATTAAAATCAGTAACCAGTATTAATTTACAATAATTTACCAGAGTCAAACAAGGGCATTTCAACATCAGACGTCTTCCCAAATCTCACTGGGTTAAAACGAATCTGAAGAGTAACTACAGAAGTTGATTATTTGTCTAACAACCACTTAAACCGTTAATCATCTTCAGTGGGTCAGACAGTTTCGTCTTGGATGTTTTGCAGTTAGGTCAAGGTATTCGTTGTAGGAAGCGGGTTGTACATGTGGCCTTCAGCAGCGCAATGGAGACGGTCGACTTGCTCACCAACTTATCATTTCCAGCACAGAAGACTGTCCCGCTACTGTAATGTGAATCACCTACGTCTTCAGTGTCCAGGACAGGTAATTTATCTACCTGATTAAGAGGGCTGCATCGCGTGTATTCTACCCACGTGGGACACCGTGTCACGAGCCTCACCCTACAGCCAATCAGCGCTGTGTCGATGTTGAAGGGACCTACCTAAATACTTCGAGTTTTCCGGGGCTCGACAAAACCGTAAAACGATGAACAAATCAGGAACACGCAGGGACTAAACTTTTACCTCGAATGAATGAGTTTCGTTTTACGCCGCTTTCAGCAATATTCCAGCAATATCAGAGCGGGGAACACTAGAAATGGGCTTCACACAGTGTACCCATGTGGGGAGTCGAACCCGGGTCTTCGGCGTGGCGAGTGAACGCTTTAACCACTAGGCTACCCCACCACCCCCTTTTACTTCGAGACAACCGTTGGTAAGATACTAGAAAGTTCGACACAGCAGTGTTGAACTGTACATGGATAGTGGAGTGGCCTTGGGATTAAAACGTATATTCCCGTCAAGTCGAGGGGGCGGTGGGGTAGATTAGTGGTTAAAGCGTTGGCTCGTCACGCCGAAGACCCGGGTTCGAATCCCCACATGGATGCAATGAGTGAAGCCCATTTCTGGTGTCCCCGTCGTGATATTGCTGGAATATTGCTAAAAGCGGCGTAAAACTAAACTCAGTCAGTCAGGCAGTCAGTCAGTCAAGTCGAGTACCGGATTAGACTCTCCACATGTGAATGTATGATGAAACTTAGTTTAGTATTTACAGAACAGCCCATACCAGTCTATAGTATGTTTAGCAAGTCTAGAATACGGGTGTTTCAGGACAGCCCATACCAGTCTATAGTATGTTTAGCAAGTCTAGAATACGGGTGTTTCAGGACAGCCCATACCAGTCTATAGTATGTTTAGCATGTCTAGAGTACGGGTGTTTCAGGACAGCCCATACCAGTCTATAGTATGTTTAGCAAGTCTAGAATACGGGTGTTTCAGGACAGCCCATACCAGTCTATAGTATGTTTACCAGCATGTCTAGACATCAAATTACGGGTGTTTCAGGACCCATACCAGTCTATAGTATGTTTAGCATGTCTAGAAGTACGTGTGTTTCAGGACAGCCCATACCAGTCTATAGTATGTTTAGCATGTCTAGAATACGGGTGTTTCAGGACAGCCCATACCAGTCTATATAGTATGTTTAGTATGTTTAGCATGTCTAGAGTACGGGTGTTTCCAGGACAGCCCATACCAGTCAATGTCTAGAGTACGTGTGTTTCAGGACAGCCCATACCAGTCTATAGTATGTTTAGCATGTCTAGAATACGGGTGTTTCAGGACAGCCCATACCAGTCTATAGTATGTTTAGCAAGTCTAGAGTACGGGTGTTTCAGGACAGCCCATACCAGTCTATAGTATGTTTAGCATGTCTAGAGTACGTGTGTTTCAGGACAGCCCATACCAGTCTATAGTATGTTTAGCATGTCTAGAATACGTGTGTTTCAGGACAGCCCATACCAGTCTATAGTATGTTTAGCAAGTCTAGAGTACGGGTGTTTCAGGACAGCCCATACCAGTCTATAGTATGTTTAGCAAGTCTAGAGTACGGGTGTTTCAGGACAGCCCATACCAGTCTATAGTATGTTTAGCAAGTCTATAGTATGTCTAGAGTACGGGTGTTTCAGGACAGCCCATACCAGTCTATAGTATGTTTAGCATGTCTAGAATACGGGTGTTTCAGGACAGCCCATACCAGTCTATAGTATGTTTAGCAAGTCTAGAATACGTATGTGTTTCAGGACAGCCCATACCAGTCTATAGTATGTTTAGCAAGTCTAGAGTACGGGTGTTTCAGGACAGCCCATACCAGTCTATAGTATGTTTAGCATGTCTAGAATACGGGTGTTTCAGGACAGCCCATACCAGTCTATAGTATGTTTAGCAAGTCTAGAATACGTGTGTTTCAGGACAGCCCATACCAGTCTATAGTATGTTTAGCATGTCTAGAATACGGGTGTTTCAGGACAGCCCATACCAGTCTATAGTATGTTTAGCAAGTCTAGAGTACGGGTGTTTCAGGACAGCCCATACCAGTCTATAGTATGTTTAGCATGTCTAGAGTACGGGTGTTTCAGGACATCACATACCAGTCTATAGTATGTTTAGCAAGTCTAGAATACGGGTGTTTTTCAGGACAGCCCATACCAGTCTATAGTATGTTTAGCATGTCTAGAGTACGGGTGTTTCAGGACAGCCCATACCAGTCTATAGTATGTTTAGCAAGTCTAGAGTACGGGTGTTTCAGGACAGCACATACCAGTCTATAGTATGTTTAGCAAGTCTAGAGTACGGGTGTTTCAGGACAGCCCATACCAGTCTATAGTATGTTTAGCATGTCTACAGAATACGGGTGTTTCAGGACAGCCCATACCAGTCTATAGTATGTTTAGCAATGTCTAGAATACGGGTGTTTCAGGACAGCCCATACCAGTCTATAGTATGTTTAGCATGTCTAGAAGTACGGGTGTTTCAGGACAGCCCATACCAGTCTATAGTATGTTTAGCAAGTCTAGAGTACGGGTGTTTCAGGACAGCCCATACCAGTCTATAGTATGTTTAGCATGTCTAGAGTACGGGTGTTTCAGGACAGCCCATACCAGTCTATAGTATGTTTAGCAAGTCTAGAGTACGGGTGTTTCAGGACAGCCATACCAGTCTATAGTATGT